TGGTACGTTTGTGTCGTTACCTTGCTGTTTAATCTTCTAGATCTTTCCGTAAGTTTCTTTTCCTTAACTCTTTTTGTCATGTGTTATATTCTTTACTTTGTCTTGTTCTTGTTTGTTCCCTCACAGTTGTTTATTTTTTCCACACCTGCTGGTTTTGTACGTCCGCTGCAGCCCATCCGCATCTTCTGTTGTTTGCAGAAAAATTATTTCTTGCCTTATATATGTTGCGCTCATTGCTGTGTCATCTGGTCTTATTTTCCTCGCCGCATCTTTTCTTTTGCTTCTTGTTTGATACAACCGTTGTCCTCAAAATTTTTCTGTTATTTTTTTGGTGTAGACAGTTCCTTCTCAATCCTATATCATGCTCCTTGCTATGCATTCTGTCATGTTCTGACTTGAAATCGTTAAGTATTTTGTTTGTTACGATACTGTGATAGTCTGTAGCCTTTTTCTCATCTCTTTCCGTTCTTTTTACTCGTAAGTTTCTTTTCATAATATTTATTTGCTTACTGTTTGCAGGCATTTCTATCACGTCGTTTGCTTTCTGACCTTGCTGCTTTTTTTCATTGTATACCTTATCATACGTATGTAGTTTATAGTCTTGTTGTTTGTTGTTCGCACAGTCTTTCAAGGTTGCTTGTTTTTCAGTGCGACTTTCGCAGGTGTGCTTCTGCTATATCTTTCTCTCCTTCAGAGTTCTGTGTTTAAATTTCATGAAGTTTGGACTGTTTATTTTTAAACGCTACTAAGTTTGAAATATACGCCTTACATAGTTTTATTGATAATTGCAATCTTTTTGTGCAACTGATATCATATACACATGTGCATGCATAACTGAATAAACTTTCATTTACATGCAGTTGTGACATGTTAATCTATACGCGTGAACGGGAAGATTACTGGATCAAACTTTACAAAACACAGAAAGAAAAAATTAGGCCACGCATGTAGAATGCTTCTATCGCTTTTCCATTCTTTTATTGCACTCCTAGAATATATCTTGCCCTGAAAGCATGTTGCAACAGTACCAACTACGTGAGCATAGCCTTCCGACTCATCCATGATTTTATCCTCGGCTTGTCTCTCTCCTGCGCCTGGATATCTCTGTCGATTGTACGTACCACTTCGCCTGGATCCTCTTGATCAGGAAACTGTGATAGGCAAGTATTCTAACGTGTATGTCAAAATTCGTGTTTTTCTCATCACTCAGCACGTTACTTCAGTTTTGCGAGAACGAAACGATACAACCACTGAAAAATTTTGCTGCACAACTTCAATTTTCAACATTTTTTCTTTTTGGAATAATTCATAAATATATTTCAGTAGAAAGCGAAAAAATAGTAAGAGATGGGGATCAAATGAATGAATGGCGTCTGATCATTTCGATCGACTTTAGCTGGTGGCTTACGCGAGCTGAATGCCGACAGTTATCTTGACTGTTTTCTCCACAAAATGAATACCCTAATTAAGGAGGAAAATGATAGAATAAATAGCTGCGAAAGAATTCGTATAAGGATAGAAAAATGATATGAAAGACCAAAGATCTGACATCTTCCGTCCGTAATTAAGTGTTCTATCATAGATGGCATTTAAAATTTGAGAAGCATGAGTTGCTTCAATGTATTTGTGTTCCCTATACTGCAAACTTTGAAATTTTTCTAAATTTTTCATCTTTACGACCCTTAGTCATAACTTCACGCTGACAATTCATGCAGCGTTAATGAAAATATCCACTAGCTCCTAGAGGTGTATGGAATAACTTAAGCAAGGTACGACTTCCGAACATTTTGTATGTTTACAGAGCATCAGTATGTTCCAAACGGTTTCTAATGTCTACAGCAACACTGCTCTTTAGCAGTGGTGTTGCAGGAGCTGAAACTTCGTACCGCAGCAACACTAAAAATGTGATTTGAGCACCTGGAATATGTTAATAAGCATAATTGCGCTCAACAGCATTATACAGCGTTATTGCACCCCAACTGGTTCTAAAGGCTCACAGAATCAACTTCTGCAATATTAGATATTCGACCGTAGTTGAATGCGGTATATTCACTTTTAGTTGAGACATATAAGTGAATATACCACCTGTCTATTTAGTTGGAGATTTAACAAAGACAAGAAATTTGTGAACACTGAGTAAGAAACGCACTCGGCATACGTTTCTTTTTATCAGACATAATATTGTGACATGCTATCAAAGAATGTGTAATCTTACTAGGCTCTTCATTACGGGGCGAAACTTTAGTGCCAATAATGCGTCTTTCCTAGAATATAATAGCAGGTTCTATTCTATTCTTTCCCCCGTCCAACAGAGAATTTGAAGGCCCCCCCGTAAAATTAATACCAAATTAATAAAGCCCCTAATGGAAGACATTAAATCTTTCATGGATGTAGCTAAACCACTTATAACTCACTTAAACGTTACTGAATTTAAGCTTATTAAATCTACAAAATTAAATAACGACATGACAATCAAGAAAACAGATAAAGATAATGATCATGGATAGGTTAGAATATGCCAACAAATATTTTGAAGTGCCGAACACCTCATTTTTTCCTACATATTGACTCTACCTCATTCCACGTCCATGAACTTCGAGTTTTCCTTGAGGATACTGTAAAATACGACAACCTACTCCTAGTTTCAATTCTTCAGTTCCACTGAAACACTTCTGAAATTTAACTGTAATCGCAAGGAACCATATTTTTACTGCTTACATAAATTACATAAACATCATGTCTTCCTTAGATGCATAGTCTCTACCGTGAACTGTTTCTTGGCAGTGGTTTTGAAATTTATCGCTGAAACACTTGAGCCTTTAACTGGAAAAATCCCATCTTAAATCAAAAACTCCTACGAGTTTTGCAAGGAACTGAAGCCAATTAAGCCATCTGAAAGAAGCATTATAATCAGTTATTCACTAATATCGTTTTTGATATTACTATTAAAATAATCTATTAACTCTATCAAAAACTGAAAACTTTTGCATTGTAAAGGCTAATTATTTTTCCTTCGAAGGTATGTTCCATTAATAAACCAAAGAGACACCCATAGGCAACTAACTTTCCCCATTCTTGTCAAATATTTCTGGAGCATTTCGAAATTATGGCCCGGGACATGAACCTTGACTGCTTGCAAAGATTCTTAAGGATATGTTGAAAATATTTTTTCCATCAATCCCAGTGGCAATAAAATAAGTGCTGCACCTTCTCAAAAGCCTTTCCTCTCAAAGTACCTTGTTAGCCATTGAAAAAAAATTAATCTAGTGTTCTATTAGCATGGCGGAGTTAGC